CGCTTCGGCCAAGCGTCCCCTGATACAGCGCAGCGCTTTCCTTTGTTCCACCGATCCCGCCATTTCATATCCAGTCGTCAGGAGATTTGGATTTAGATTTATTTAGTCAAAAAAAGTAAAAGCTGTATGTGACGTATGGAGAGGAGATAATCTGCGCACATTTTCTTGAGTTCCAGAATCCCTTCCCATCATTATAACTATAAATAATTGAAAGATGAGTTAAGGTTAAAGATTAATAAATAATTAAAAGTAAAAATTTTAAAAAATTGCGAGGTTAGCGTTATTTGAAAAACTCTACATTTTTTGTTCCCGAGTTTTAAAAAACGTTTTTGCTACGGTAAACGAACTATAGATTTTATTTTCTGCATTGCTAACAAAATAGTAAGTCGCCCTTACCTCCTACCACTACAAGCAAAAGGAGAGTTGAGTTCACGTGAGCACAGTGAAGCTACATTTGTGGATCTGTGGATCTAGATCTGTGTGGTATTCTGCGGGTTGAGATCCGTGACTCTACCCCAAACCAATTCGAATATTCCTGAAAATCTCCAAAACGTCACTGACGTATAATTTTCCTTCGGCTCGAGCGGCTGCGCTGCTCTGTGAACCTGCGGGCTCCACTTCGGCCCACTGTGCAGTGAGCGCCGCGCCGCGCCGCGGGCGATGAGGAAGCCGCCCCGCCCTCCGCGGCCGCCCCGAGGTGGCGCGGCGAAGAACCGGCGCTCTCGCAGACGTCACGGCTGTTTTCACAGCTCGCTTCCTGGGGGGAATAAACTCCTGCGCCAAAGGCGGAGCAAACAGGGGTGGGGGCCAAATGGAGTTTCCGGCTCTTGGCGTGCAATGCTGCTTGTAGTAATTACGATAGCATATCTGAAGAGCGAAGAAGGTGGGTAGCAAAACGAAATACCCACGAGCAAATCTCTGTGACGATATGTTACAGCTATCACGAGATTTTTATGGGTCTTATTACATAGAATGCAAAGTGCTTAAGGGAAGTCGGAGGGGAACCACCCTCCAAAATATCGGTGTATCATTAGCATGCTTTTGCAACTTTTAGTGACAATCTATTGTTGTGTTGTGAAAGAATACTACTAGAGCTCTTCAAGTAGCCAACAGGTGGTTATATAAGCATTTTACTTTCTCGTGCTTAAGAAGGAACTTTTTAAGAAGAGAAAGTTACGTAAAGCTGCGCGAAAAAAACGCGAATTTTCGGCTGATAAACTCTTATTTCAGGTAACGAAAAAGGTAACGAAAAAGGTTCCTGGTAACGAAAAAGTGGATAAATCCAGGTCCTAAATTTAGAAAAACAATCCTCTAATACGTGGTGTAGCAGGAATCTATATTTTGTGGGTCCTTGCAACTGAAAAATCGCTGACGGTAAAACGTCTGTCCGTGAAAAACGCCAGCGGCTAAACGTTCCACCGATTTTTTCCAAAATTGATATTCACGAATCGATCTGTCCGATGTTGCGGCTCCATGAATTTGAAAACTATATTTTTATTTTAGGGTTGCTTTACATAAAACCCTTGAAACATTTTCAAAATTTAAAAAAAAAAAAAAAAAAAAGCGCAATCGATTTTGATTAAATTTTGTTGCTGGATAGTCTAAAGGACGTTTAAGAGACGGGCACAGGTCTCATGTTGGTTACAAACTGATTTTTCGAAAATTGAAAAAAATCAAAATATTTTTCGGCGTCTTCCTACTGCGAAAATATTAAAGACCAATTTTCCCCCCTTAATAAAATAATTCCTTTCAAGATAGATTTTGAAAAAGGTCATATATAATTTTTCGAAAATTTGACTATTTTTCGCCTAATTTTGAGTAAAACATTGGCAATTTTCAATTTTTTTTCTCAAAAATAGCTTCACCGTTTTTGATGAAATTTGTTTTGTATATTCTGAAGGACGTTTACGAAAATGGTGCAGATCTCATGTGGGTTAAAAGCCCTGACTTTTTGAAAAATGAAAAAATTCAAAATTTGTTCCGCATTTTCCTACAACTATAATTTTGAAGATACATTTTTTTCTTAAAGAAATGTATTCATTATAAACAGATCTTCAAGTAAGATCATGTTCAATTTTTCGAAAACCTGAACATTCTTTGTGAAATTGTGTCAAACATAGTCAATTTTTATTTTCTTTAAAACATTTTTCTTAAAACCCACACATTTTTTTATAAACTGGGACCTTAGAATAAAGTACGCTTAAGAGAATGGTGCATGTCTCATGTTCGTTGAAATGTTTAACATTGAAAAAAACAAACAACAACAAACAGATCTTTAAATAAGGTCATCTTGATCTTTTTGAAAATGTGAATTTTTTGGGTAATTTCGAGACAAACATATTAGCCCGCTCCCAATTGACTGTGTAATAGTGGTAATTCCAGTAGGATGCTCCATAAGTTAGAATTTGTATATTATTTCATATTTCCTTGTTAGTTTCTTAAATTCGAGCTTTTGTTATACGTTTACAAATTAATATTTTATAATTTATTTAAAATCTATTTTAAATTGCGATCTTTAATTGAGTTAAATGTGAAAACAAATATATGAATTTACTTTGCATAATATGTGGGAACGAGGAATAATGCGTGTAAAACTGAGTAATTTTGTTGAATATATAACAATATTGTGTTTAATTATTATATTTTTTATCCATTTTCATTTTCTTGCCAGGGGTATCAACCATACCAACTTGCAAAATGTATCCCATACGAATTAGCGGTTATTGTTGCGTGTTGCAACAGTGTTGTAACGCCCCACTGATAACAGAAGGCGATAATGACGGCCGTAGTTTGTTCGCGTTAAAATAAACTAATAATTTTTTACAGCTGAAATACGCATCGCGCATCTTTGGTACATTTATTTAGAATGTGGATATACTGAATTCAATGGCGAAAAATTATTTTCGTTTAAACGTTTGAATGAAAATAATATATGTATTTTCACGCTTCGTTTGTTGAAGAATTTCTCAATTGGTAATTGAAGTGTATGAGAGAAATAGTCATATTATCATATTACACAGCTATTAGCAATATTGCGAGAAAATAAGTATTGTTGTAGCACCACTAGTTTAGAATAAATTTTATCTAACAAAAAAACTACAATAGAAATCATACTTTTGCAATGTTAATTGTTTGTAAATTTATTATTTCGTAATTTGCAGTTTTTTGCCCAATTAATCCTAATTGGGCTAATTTCAATTAAGGTTTTAAAACTGACTCTAAATCGCGCGACAGCCTTATATATTGACACCACCTCAAATGAGGCCCGAGAAATTCGAATTTACGATTTCGATTTTTCCCCCCAATTTCCGAAAATACGGAGTGCGATGAAAATGGAATCATCGCCACCTTCTTTACCGTTCTTTGTTACGTACGTGTAAAATAATAAAGCAAAAAATTGAAGCCGGTTCTGAGAAAATAATTATTTTAACTTTTAAAAATTGCGTGTGTTTGATGCCAAATTATATTAAAAAATATTCATATTTTCGAACATGACATTATTTGAAGATGTTTTTGTTGAACACATTTCATTAAGAAAAAATCTTCTTACTTATAATTTTATGAAGTCGAATACGGAATTTTGAATTTTAGCAATTTTTGAAAAATTAAGAATTTCAACGAGCTTGAGACGTGCGCCATTCTCCGAAGCGACCCTTACGCTATCGTAGGTCAAAATTTAATTTAAAAAAATGGTGTCATGGCCTTATTTCACAATCTGTCTTTAAAGAACACATTTCATTACGGAAGAATGTTTTATCTTCAATATTTTAGGCGTAGGAAGAAAAAATGGAACTTTTGCAATTTTCGAAAAATCAGGGATTTCAAAGAGTGAGGCCTGTACTGTTTTCTTAAATGTTCTTCACACTATCCAACATAAATATTATGAAAAAATGTGAATCCATTTTTTTAATGGCCCAAGGACTTCATGTGAAGTTCCACCGGAAATTAAAATATCGGCTTCAAATTCAAGGGACCACGAAATCAGCTAAATAGATTGAGGGAATGTCCATTGAATTTGGAGCCGTTTTTGAGAAAATTTTGGAAATGTATCTGGGGCTTCATGTAAAGTAACTCCAAACTTTAAAGAATGTTTCCCGAAATCGCAAAGCTTCGAGTCAAGCCAAATCGACAGGGGAATATCCATTTTGAAAAAAATTCTACCTATGGTTTAGGTGCGCGCCAGTGGTGATCAAAGACAAACAGACGGACTTTTTGAAAAAAAATCCACTTTTATGGCATCAGGAGACCAGAAAACGTGTATTTTCTTTGAAATATTGAAATCAATTTTCCGCAACATTACATAATTTTCTATATATTACGTATATTACTCTGCATATTCTACGTAGTACGTATACGAGAAAGTAAAAATCTATGAATGGTTTAGACTAGTATTTTCACTGGTGGCCGGAGGGACGGACGTTTTGGAGAAAAATAATCCATTTTTGGTTTCCTCAAAACTTGTTTCCGTTGAAATTTCGACATCCATTTTTCGTGATTACGACTTAAAGAGATTAAAGAAACAAATCAAATATGCTCCATTTCATACTAACTAAATTGTATTTACATAGCGGGACTTATTGGTTTTAGAGCGAACTTGCAACAATTGGTAGGATGTGCCTCTACTTACAGTAACTGTCACGTGCAACTGTTCTTTTTCTTTTCAGCCTATTGCACTTGACAACCCCGTGAAGAAGGTATCTCGAGTGCTCTTCAGGACTGATACTGAACCATAATCAACATCGTAACGCGATATCCTGTTTTGAACGAAATTCCTTCAAATCACACATTTCACAAACTGATTCTCATTATTAACAATACTATATTATTTCGGATTCTTTAATCCTTTTCAAATGCGAGATTTCACAGAAAAAGAGCCTGGAAGAGTTATCACAGAACGTATCTGACAGCTCGTTATCTAGCTGAATTTATCTAATCTGAAAGTGAAGCGCAAAACTGAGAGATGGCTACAATTTATTTCTTGGTGATATCGAAGACAAAAGATGTTCGTTTTATATATGTTCCTATTGCATTTACTTTTCACTTGCAAAGGTGATACAGATTTTTTGTGTTCTAAAGAGTTTTGCTCTAAAGGATCTGGAAGCAATGGGGAAGGATGTACAGATGTTATACCTCCAGGATGTCAAAACAAAGGAGTGATGCTTCAATCACCTACTCCATGCAATTGCTGTCAGTACTGCATTGGTTATCTAGAAGAAGGAGCAGAGTGTAATCCAGGAAACCAAGGTTCAGCAACAGTTCAAAATATTTGTGGTCCTGGCTTGACATGCGCCAAAAATGAAAAAGGTTCAGAAATATGTATTCCAATGAATGAGACAAAGTGTGCTGAAAAGCAGAACAGATATGATCAAACTCCTAGTTATGCAGAAATTTCTTGGCGTCCAGTATGTGACAGTGAAGGGAATTTTGGACCAGTTCATTGCATCCCAAATTCAATTTGTTACTGTATTGAACCTAGCAATGGAAAAAGAATATTTGGTGAAGCTGTTTTCTCAGACTATGCTACACAAATGAGTTGTTCATGCTCTTTGGCAGCTTGGGAAGCGTCAAAACTTGGGGAGAAAAATGATTACTTTCGTTGTCTGCCAGATGGACAGTACGATGAATTGCAGTGTGTTGATGATGAATGCATATGTGTTGACAAAACAACTGGATCTCCAATTGGAACGACAACTGTTCATGCCAGTAAACTAAAGAAAGGCATTTTGCCTTGTTTTAACGAAGAGATTCATCCTGATGAACGATTTGAAAAATCATGTGCACGGGAATATAAAATCATTTTAGATGAAGTATCAAAGTGGGAAAATGAAAATTTTGAAGTTTTGAGTATTAAACTACCCAAATGCACAGCTGATGGTCATTATCACAGAGTTCAAACACCAGAAAGTGGAAAAGGATTTAGATGTGTGGATCCTGACGGTAATCTCATTGACAAATATGAAAGTGATCAGGGTGAAAGCAACTGTAATTGTGCCTATACGAGTTGGCTACTAAGGAAAGAAGGTATAAAGGAAATTCCGGTATGTAACAGTGATGGTACTTTTAGACCCTGGCAATGCTCAAGAGATAAATGTTATTGTGTTGATGAAAATGGTGATCAGAATTATGACCAAGTTCTTAGTTCTAGTAATGCTAATTCATTAGATTGTTTTCAATAAAACATTAACATAATGTAAATTGTTATTATTAATATTATTATGACTTCAAGTGAATTTCTTTCTTTTAGTAAATTCTATTCATAAAGAAAATATATGCTTATATAATGAAAAGATGAATAAATAGAACAAAGCAAGAGTAAACCATGTCATTGGTTTTGTTAATAAAGAATTAAAGATTTTTATCCATTTCAATTAATTTGTTAGTTGTTGTTCTTTATAAAAGACTATAATGATAAGAAGCTACTATTCAAAATTTGTATCAAAGAAGAAACAAAGTTTGAAGATTTAAAATCAATTGCAATCTATACAAGTTTCAATTAAAAACATGTTCATGTCAAAATCTAATGTGGTTATATCATGTAAATTTGTACATTTTTATTACCAAGTTATATGAAATCAAGATGTGTGTGTCAAATTCTGATTAAAAATTTAATTCTAAAATCTGGTTTCATTATTTGCAAGTTCAATCTGATCTTTCATAATCTGAAACTATAATATTTAAAAATTAGAAGTGCACCAATTACTTATTTCACTTGAAAAAATTACATAATTAAAAATGTGTTCAATATCTAGAATATTTTATTATATGAAGTGAGTCACAACTACTTTGAAAAAATATTAATCATCATATCGTATTTCTTTTGTGTTCAAGTACAACACTGATATTTCTATTGTGATCCAGCCCTATTTTGCACCTATTGTGGCTACCTTGCTGACTGATTACCATTCTTGTCTTAAGATGAAGAGTAGGCATGTTTTCGATACATTAAGTAATTATTTAATTTCACTTCATCTGTTTTTTGTGGAAGAAAATTATTGCAATAAAAATTAAAATAAAAATAATTATGAAGTATATATTTATAAAGGGTTATATATTTGTGTGATGTCAATCAGATTTCTGAATATGTCTTTTGTCTTAAGAAAATCGTACGCAATCTTTTTATTTCTACAAACTGAAGTAAAATGCTTTCATTTTGGAATAATTTGAGAATTCTACTTCAATGTTTCTCATGTTAGACTCTTCCAAGTCCTGACAAACTGCTTAATTCCACACAAAAATATGTATTATATGCATTATTTACTCTTATTTCTCATAGATATCATTTAAAAATTTTGTTATATCTTTGACATACGTAATTAAAAACAAGAAAACTTAACATAAGTGTTTTTGAAGAAGTATGGTACTTCATGTTATTGGTGTGAAAGTTGAAAGAATATGAGGAATTCAATCAGCACAATTATCATGTTACATTCAGGATATATTTAGGTTCATATTGGTCTTGAAGTATAAATTATATCTGTTCACAATGCAATACTTGCTAATTTTAATAGCAAGGCATATTTCACATTCATCACTGATATTTTCATGAAATACCTTATTGCATTCACTGATTCACATGTATACAATTCATTTAAAACACATGGAGAATTTTCTTTCATACACCCATGCTCACAACTCACCTGTGCAATGAAATGCATCATTGATCACTTTCTACTTGTTTTGTAGTGAATAAATATGAAAAGAAGTTATCACAAGATTTTTTAAAAGCATCACACAAGTTGTCAAGTTGGGAAACATCACAATGCAGTATGATATCACTCCTTCCTTTCCTTTATACAAGTTCCAAACTTTCAACTCCTTTCATTTGGTGCATATTAAGCACTGAACGGGTAACATTTTTAAAATAAACTTCATACAGTGCACTGAGGAATGTTGAAAGAGCACATGGTTAATACCATTTGTTGATGATAAACATTCTGATAGGTATTATATAAATGTAATGAATGATATTCTCAAATATCTTCCTTCAATGGAAGTCATGAGATAAAAAGATAATTTGCCAAAGGTCTTGGAACTGTATGGTTTTACTGTCATAAAAATTTTCAGTTTTAGAAACCAATGCAGAAATGTAAGGAAGAAGGATGAGGTAAATACGAGACTCTTCAATTGGTTATTTACACTATTAATGCATATGAAATATAACTTTCATATCAAATATTTTATACTGATATATATTTTCTTGGATTTAACATTTTCAATAAGAACCCTTGATAACGCTGCCGAAGAAAAAATACTAAAATTTATCTATTGGATAATTTTGAATAAATAAATAATCAAAAGGACTCATAGTTTATTCTTCTGTTTCAAAGAAATCAATTGAAGAGCCATCATATTTTCTGAATTAAAATAAATAAATTAGCATTGTTCATTAAATCAAAGTTACAGTTCAAAAATAATTTAATTTGTGATAATTATATTCCAGATCTAGGGTATAAGAGAAATCAAACCAGATTTTCTGTTCTTGTTGTGATTTTGTTTTAATTTTTAAGTTTTATGATATAATTCATAAGTCAAGAATTATTGGTTTTCTGCTCTTTTTGCATACTCTAGAATAAAATTGGTCATGAGTACGTTTGTTAACATATTAATGATGCACATTACATAATGATAATCAGATATCAAGTGTCATGAATGCCTGCTTTACACAGATTCTTCCTCTTCTCGAGGCAACAGACACAATCACTATAACAGATGCGATCATACAACAGTTTATACCTCATGTCACATTGTCTCTTGAAAACTCACAACAAAAACAATCAATTTGTATAATACTATATAGTTTGCATCAGACTTCATACAAGACAACATGAATTTTTTTCATTTTATTTTAATATGAAAATTGGCACGTTCTCAGTTTTTGCAAATATTTCATCTTTAATTCCATCCAAAAGTATATTTAAAAATTAACATCAATGGTGAAAGCTTCATCACTCACACATTCTTGATAGTTTATCCTTTTTCATTGACACTGATTGTAAATTCAACGAGTAAGGAGACGTTAAAACTAAATGTGGTAGGACACACATTTTATTTATTAATTGAATGGTACATTTCCCTGTTTCATTTTCTTGGGTAAAGTACGACACCATAAGTTTTGCTTCTGTTATTCACAGTCTTTCTAATGCATATTTTGCCATACTTATTGTGCAATATGGATTATTTTGTATCATGTTAGCATACAAATAGAACTGTCACATATACAACTATTATTGTTTTATTGAATGCCATCTTCAAGAGTAGAGCATGAAAATAATCATAAAAGTCAACAATAATCATTATTTTTGACAGTTCTTAGGATCAGTCTTGATCAAATCAAATTGGAAGGAAAACAGATATTTCAATATATTGTTTTCGTATTTAGCTAACTTTTAGCTTCACGATTATTCATTCCTGCAGTACTCATACAAAAGAAAAACAAAACCATTGTAACATATTCCTAAATACAAGTTCATTTGTATCTGATTACACATGGTAAAGTTGCTTCATAATTCGCCTTGAAGCATGAAAGTTTTTGGTATCCACAATGAAAAATCATATTGTTGGTCAACAATACTTGCAGTTTCTGTGTGGTTGAAAATTTCTTGGTGTGTCTAAATGTCCACATACACTTGCTGGCAACAACTCTCATGTTTGTCCAGATATGACCCAAGCAGAACTTGAGACATATGTTTACGGTTCCAGCCAACCGTACCCACATTCGTCATACTACAGGATCTTCACGTTTGAAATTGATGTTTTGACTGGCACAAAAGTCTCGAGTTAGTGGCAGACAATTAAAATATGTACAAATTTCACAGTCATACACAGGAATCACATAAAAGAGAATAACTAATGCAGCAAATAGAAACAAAGAAGACAGACAGCACACCCATATTAGAGCGATCTTTTTGTGGCGATCGTATTCACCAAATGAAACAAATGGCATAAAAGCATATGAGAGAAGAAATCCGAATATGAAACCAAAGAGATGGGCGTAGTTATCAACCCATGGTAATAAACCAAATAAAAACAATACAAGAGTAATGGCAATGAGTTTAAGGAGAGCGTGATCTGGATGCCGAAGCATGGGCCATATGTTTAACACTTCTACGAACAAACAGGCCAGAAGACCAAAGTGAGCTCCAGCAGGTCCAACCTGAAAATAAAAATTTAAAATATATTAATAGTAGGAATGTATTTACATTGTATTTAGACAAAAAGATAAAGAGTTGTCTTTCATGAATGTTTTTAAAATTTATTTAAACAGCAATTGGGTATAAATGGTGGCAGCTAATTACATAAATAAGGTAATATAAATAACATGCAAATAATATAATAATAATGGAAATAATAATTTGTACGTGTTCTACCTAAAACCAATTCTAATGGAAGTACTCATTTTAAAACTAGAAAGATGTCAAGTATATATCTTTTATTTTTAGTACCATTGTTTCAAGCATAAAAGAAATTACTTATTAAAAGGTTTTATTTCCTAAAATGTTCCTGCAGCAAAGTTTATAAGCTTATTTCTTAGCTTCCCTGATTTTATATTTTCAAACTTTCAACAAATAACTTGTAATTTTCTGAAATACAGGAGCAATTTGCAAAAGTTTGTATGTATTTCACTTGCAATCAAATGATCTATTCATAAATTCAATATTTCATTTGACTCAAAGCACTGATGAAAAATACTAATGATGCAGCAGTGTATCGGGGGCAGAATGAAGACCATGGCAATCTGGTAAGTCAACATTGTTTTGTAATTTAATAATAATCATCTCAGCCATCTGCTGTTTGCTCAAAGGACCAGGGGAACTTGACAAAAAACCTGATTGAGATGGGACTTAAATTAATTCATTGAAAACAATAACTTTGTATTGATTGCATCACATTCAGAGAACTATTCCCATTACAAATACACGTTTTGTTTGTGAAACATATTTTTATTTCATGCAAACATTAAAAAAAAAATATTTCTGACAATTTTTAAACTATATGTATTTCAACAGTTCCAATAATGAGGTGGGTATCAAAAATCCCCCGATGAGATGCTTAAAATAATTGAATCATGGATCACAAAGGATTCAGTAACCATTTTTTAAATTATTTTGAATTATTGAAAGAGATCTACAGCATTTAAAAAATCATTAAGCATTTCACAACAGTTTTATTTACACTTATACTGAATCTTCAATAAAGAAGACATTTCATACAAAAAGTTGGACACAACATTATTTTTCATTTCATGAAAATTTTAATTTTCAGAGACAATTGCAAATTTCTTTTACCACACAATATACTTTTATGTTATTCAGACTCACATTTACAAGTTTAGGTGAAAATAATGAACAAAATGAAACACTATGTATCAGCATCAAATTCTAAGAGTCATCCTTTCAGAATAATTAAAGAGGTTACATGTATAAAAATTAATAACCCTGGAGTTTTATAAAAGTTTGAAAAATTAATTTACCCCCTATGAAAAGAATAAGATAAGAATTAAAGACAAAATTAATACGTTAGCTTAGATAGTAAGGTTCACTTAATTTACCCATGAATTGTTTAGCTGAAGAAATATTTTTATACAAAGAAGATAATCCATATTTTTATATTATTGATTTTTTTGGATAAAAGATGAGTATATAACTAATGATGCATTAAGTGCATCACATGCACTAGCCTGTATAAATTTGTAACAGCAATTTATTTTTCAACTGAGAGAAGTTAAGAAATGTTAGAGACCTAATAAAAAGCATCTAAATGTCTTGCCTTGTAATATCACAAAGAGTACAAGAATTATGGAACATCAATAAAACTAATTTTAGAATAAAATCACCCAGCTTTTGAAACAGTAAATTCTGATAATTGACATTTAAATGATAACATTTGGAGATAAGCAATCATTTGTTCTAAAAACAGATATAAATTCTCCTTGATACTAAGTTCAAATGTATCCTTACCTCTGCTCTGTATGGGACAAATATAGCACTGGCTAGATTGCCAGCAACACCTGATCCCATGTAGATAATTGCAATCCTCAATGAACCTGTCAGTTTTTCCAAATCTCGCATAAGAAAAAATTGGATAACTAATGTAATAGCCAAATGTAGAAGACTGGAAGAAAATACATAAAATTCATTAGGTGTAATTTTTTGTAATAAGAAAACAAAATAAAATAAAATAGAAATACTAAAATTGTATTTTCTGTATAGTACATAATTTTGGAATAATAAAATTTACCCTGCATGAAGAAATAAGGATGTCCACAACCGATAGAACTGATCAGGAACTTCAGGAGCATAAAAGGGAATCATTCCACACACATCATCCAGACATGATACCTGTTAAAACAATATTTGTTATGAGCAAAAAGAAAGGTAACAAATCACTTGAGAGCACTATTTTCAGAGACAGAAGGTCCCTGAGAATACATTTTTCTTGAACTTTCTCAGTTTAACTCTTGAAGTGGAGATGAGCATCCTAACATATATCAGATCTCAAAATTGGCAATACTTACAAAATACATATTGTATGAAACAGTATTTTATAACCAAAATTACTTTCATTATAGAGGTGCAGCATTTTTGCCTGCACATCATTTACTGTCTTCCGTAATTTAGTGTTTCCTGTACAGAAGAACTTTTACCTGAGAGCATAGGGAAGCCTCTTCATGGAAGTAGCCACGAACGAAATCACAGTACTCTTTAGTCGTAATGCGACACATGCCATGGATGCCAATGCAACACGGGTGACCAATCACTTCACACACCATATGTTCAGCTGTTTTGTCCTTGTACCGAAAACGTTGGGGAAAGGAATTTGTTTTTCGACAAATTGGCCATTTAGTAATGTCATCTGGCCATTCATATGGTGCTACTGATGCAGGAGCTTCACAGAACCTGTAAAGAAGCCAATTGTCTTCAAATATTCACATTTTGAGAGCATGAAGTAACAAAAGATAACACTTTGTATGTTTTGTCTCTTGTAAATTATTAAATCATTTGAGTGATTGAGTAAGTAGTTAAGGAAGAAACTAATTTGTTTTCCATCATGAACTCCATTTAAAAATGAAATGTTCTAAATGGCAATGATATAAAACTTTTTAACACTAAAAATGCATTATAAAATTATTTAAACTTGGAGAGCAATTTAGAGCATTTTGTTACTTAATAATTTTCATAAATAAAACATTTTATTGAATATCATAAAAGTTGAGATGATCTTGTTTACAACAACAATTTAGTACAACCCTGTTATTTTCATTGTTTAATTTACATATTTAGATTTAGAAATAATTTCTCAGAGTTGGAATGAAAATAAGTGGTGTAAATTAAAAGCATATTTAAACCTCTGTTATTTGCAATAGTGACAATTACAAATTCTTAATTCTGTTTCAGAATTTACATTTGAACTTGACTAAAAAGTTTGACTTTATTGATTTTCTAATAATAATTTGTTTTACAAACTTTAATGCATTTTCTTTGAAGGTCAATACTTGTTTTCAAACTCTGTTATAAATTAGATCATTACTTTGAAAATATTTCATCAAAGCTGACCAAAAATTCAAGTTATAACATGATTGCAACGTATGAAATTGATACAGGACTAATAATTTAAGAAAGAAAAAACAATCTCCATAAACTGTTGCACAATGAAATTGCGATTCATTTAATTTCCTTCTAATATTAACCAATTGTAATTAACAACAAATCACGTGCCATCAAAACTCAATATGTGAGGGAAACTAATGACAACCTGTTGTTAACACATAATGTGTCAGAATAATTCAATTGATCCTCCCTGAAAACCTAGCAAAAGCTCGACTAGCACTACACCGGATGTAATAAGGGCCCATCCACAAATCCTGTGACGCAAATTTGGAGTGATTTGAATTCCCCCTCTCCCCCCTGTAACTCACCCTTAATGCACACTTGAACCTCCACTAAATAATTACTTAATGGTAGCGACACTCCCCCTTCCCCCTAGTAAATACAAAAAGTGAAAATAAATTAAAGTATAGTAAAAACAATTTGTATTTATTTTACTTGTGTCATATATTAAACTTAATGATAATTAAAGTAGAAATTAGTTGACAATCCTGACTGCACTTAATAAATACGATTGGGGCAAATTGTGAGTGAATTGGCAAGAACATTTTTTATCGCAAGCTATGCACACGCAATTATGGATGACGTAGGAGTGAGAGTCTACTGTGGCAATTTAAATGAACTCTAAAATATACAACATATCATTTTTAATATTTTCTTCATAACTTTACAATTTCAATAAAAAAATTATGAAAAAATATGTTCATTTACTGTAACAATTTAATAATAATAATAATAATATTTATTGAGTCACATATACAATTACAATCGTGTATGACGAGTCAATATGATGCCTTGGGTGGAGAGAGCGAAGTTATATTACTGTTCAGGAGCAAACAAGGGGCCATCTCAGCATTTGCTCAAAGGATCAGGGAAACTGAACAAAACCTGATCAAGATGGGGTATTGGCCTAGAAATACAATACTTGTTACAGTTAGATTAAGATATTATACAGTAGATAATTTATCTGCTAATAATTAACATTTCAATATGATATTTTAATGCTACTACTTATAATAATTACATTAATTATAATAATTACATTAATAATACATATCAATTATGTTTGCAACTACATCAAATTTAACAATAGTAGTACATTCTATATTTATAACTTGAAATGGTGAGGAATTTACATTTAATAACTTTAATTTGTTAATGTTTTTAAAACAAATTAATTGGTAAATATTTTAATGTGTTAGTACAATACTCATAAAAAGGAATTATTTCAGCAAATGTTGAAAAATGTAAAAAAATAAATATCAATGTTATGGAACACTAAACTAATACCCTTCTTTGTAATGTAGTGTAATGCTGCCTCAAACCCCCTCTGCCCCTCTTTAATTTAAGAATGACCCCTAACTAGAGAGGACATCTTCCAGAGGTAGATTAACCCTTGTGGGAACTCCAGAGTGGTCTTTGTGAGGGGGTCCCTATAAAACAATTCACTCCATTATTCAATCCTGATTTTTGCTTAGGAACAGACAAAAATCAGAAAGTGATATCAAACAATATTTGTTAAGAAGCAAATCCGATGTGACATACTTTTTGAGAAGATTTAATGGAATCCTTATTTGTGTATAATAGAACTCAGTAGTTAATGGTAAGTTGCAAAAACCAACCTTATTAATATTTTACACTGTCTGTTTAAATACAGCTTTAGCCGCAAAAAACACAGGAAAGAATCTATATGGAGCCATAACTGGCCATAACATTGTTCACAAACAGAAATATTGAATATAACACCCACTATTTTAAATGATTGCAATTGCTATTGCAAAAATAGTTCTTTCTCTGCCTGTCAAAGAGAATAAAACACATATGTATTGAGTAGAAAACAATTAACACTGTTTATTTACATTAAAGGTTCTGTGAACAATAATATGGAAAAACTTCATCTTTATCGTCGTCGTCATCATGAACATTTAGCTACAGACTAATGATGTGTACCTATTCTTCCAATAGTTCCCTAGTTCCTGCCAGGTATCTCGCACCAGCGGGGCACTGCTATAGCCGGGACAAGCTCTTAGCTGTTAACCGGTCTCCCGGCATGTAGGGTAGTGTAGTGCGTGTTAGTGTGTGTGTGTAAGGGGTGAGGATAGGACGAGGAAGAGGAAGGAAAGATCGCGCGCGGTCCGTGGCCCGTTTATTAGAGTATTGCCCCGGCATTCGCCTGGTGTTTATCGAAGAAACCACGGAAAACTATCGATCAGAGCAGCCAGCCGCTAGAATTCTCCTCCAGACAGCGACTACATTCGACGTAGCTAACAAACTAGTGTCGAAAATCCTGCCACCGTAGAGAGTGTAACCCTAGGATTTCCCGGTCAAAGGCACTGCAGTGACATCAGTTATCCCGGGGCTAACCCGGAAAGGGGAAGGGAACATGGACGGAAAGATGTCAATGCAACGTTGAGAGAGGAAGTTGGTGGCGAAATTCTCTTTGCCTGGTGAGCAGGCAAGGAAAGATGGTAAAGGGTAAGGACATTTTACCCGAAATAAATAAATAAATAATGAATAAATAAATAAATAAACAAATAAATAAACAAACAAATAAATAATTAAATTTAAAAAAAACGCAGTACTGCCAGGCACCAAGCTTCGCGCAGTCATCATTTAAGGTCGTCTCGCGCGAGCAGGCTCATGATGAGTTCAGAGCTCAGCGAAGACCGACACAGGATAACACAATCCAATTGCTGATGTCTGGGAAGACAAACCTCGCACGATAGCGCACACAAGAAAAGTTGCTAACAATGTAACTGCTTATAGCAAGACTTTACTAGCTACGAGAACGGCAAATCGCTTTCCCTTGTCGAGGGCGTCTTTGTGCCAGTCTCATGCTTACGAAATCGAGAGAAGATGCGGCATTTGACAGCGCCACTTTCCCTTTTCTCCTTTCTTTCGGTTCTTTTTGGAAGGCTTCCTTTACGTTTTCATAGAATTTGCCTGAGCCTCCTCTTTGCGGGAGCCTCGGAGCTGACGGAACGGCCGCTCCGTACTTAATTTGGGCCTGATAACATCAACATCATTAACTTTTAAGAATTAGGTCTAGTGGCTTGTTTCTTTATTTCTAAAATTTCCTTAGTTGCTACTGAAGTGTTTATGATCTTCCCATCTTCTTTCTTCCTGACATTCTCTTCTTTCTCTTAGCCTGTATTTCAAAATCTGTTAAGGAAACCTGTCAGGTTTCATTCCTGTAACTTATCTTAGCTATTTTCTTTGATATTTCTCTGTTTTTTGCTGTATGTTTTTGGTTTAAAGCCTTTTTCTGATGTCTTTTTACTTTCTTGACGCACAACGCAATTAGTACAGAGAAAGTGTCGTAATGCTTCAACGGAAGGTGGGGATTTTTCGTCAGAAAAAGCTCATATTGTAGGCTCTTGATATCCACAAAGTGGATAAATCTTGCTCCTATGGGTGCTAAAATACTTCCTCTAACACGTTATGCAGTCGGAATCTTTGGTTTTGGGTTTATTGCAAAACGTCTATCCACCAGTCTGTGGTCAACGCTAGCACCTAAACCGTTTTAACAAATTTCTCCGAAAATTGATATTCTTCATTATTAGCCGAAATCAAAGATGCGAATTTGAAAATTATACTTTGATTTTTTTGGGGGATACATTCCACGAAGCCTTAACATTTTCAAAAAATTTTGATAGAGAAACTCCAAGTATTTTGCTTAACATTTTTCTAAAATAAAGCTAAGTTAAATTTCAAATTTAAATTTCGTTTATCTTATATAGGTTCTTAATGGCTTATATTGGTTGTCGAAGTTTTCTGATCCAAGATTTCCCAGTCTTTTTTTTACTTTCTCGCCATGACGTAGAAACAGAACGTATGTGAGACTTTTCTAGTTACTCTGTCATAAGCTTTAAATAACGGGCGGATAGACGGGCGGATAGACGGGCAGATAGCCGGGCAGATAGACGGGCGGATAGACGGGCGGATAGACGGGCGGATAGACGGGCGGATAGACGGGCGGATAGACCGGCGGATAGACGGGCGAATAGACGGGCAACCGGGCGGGCGGCGGGCAGGCGGACCGACCGACGGTCGGACGGGTTGGCGGAAGGACATATTGCAATAAACCAATTTTGCGGTATCATGAATACACAAACCCCATTTTTGGATTCTCGGATTCTTTAGATTCTGACCATACGTGTGAGAGGAAGTAATATACTGTATATTGTAACAAGAATTATCCTGTTTTTTAGTAACAGGGATCTATAATACAAATTTTTCTGCAAAAAAATCGCCATTTTCCGCTGTAGCATTACATAACTTTTTCTATACTATGTATATAATATGAGAGAAAGTAAAAGATTTAAATATTTTAACACGAACCTTCAGATAAATTATTATATAGTACTGCTAAATACAGGTATAATTAATTTTGAAATATATATTTTAAAAAATCATTCGAAATCCAATTCAACTTTGCAATTTATTCTGCGGTCCTATGATGACCACCCACCCAATAGTGTTCTTTAGATACCACAATGGCATTGGCTTGTAACTGTTAGCAATTTTCTTATTCATGTTTTGAAATTGTTATGACAGACACAGACTCTGTGACAGTCACAAACAAAACAACTTATGACAACGAAAATAAGGAAATAGAATTTATTTAGTTAGTGGAATCATATTTATTTATATAGTTATTTGTAGACTGATCATTGACTCTTTTATCTTATTCCATCACTTTCGTAATACAGTAATCATAGCGTAAAATTACTTGTTTGTGGTGAGAAGGAAAGAAGAAATCAATTAAAATAAGTTGAAGACAAGCTTTATGACACAAATGGTTGAAAAATCAATTGTAAAATTGGAAATAATGTCTGTGAGTGTGAGTGATGATGAGTGTGAATTTTGTTCTTCCAATTATAACATGGCTCAGTTGGCATTCCTTATGGTAAGGGAACTTAATCAACAACAGTGCCTCAGAAAAATATGATTCTTGTCCATTAAGCATAGTTTCATCTTACCATAAAAATAAAAATGGATATATTTCATGATTGAATATTGAACAAAATGAGATTATGAAAAATCAATTGTCACATTAATTAATACAATTTTTTGTACAGTGCAAATTAATAAATATTTAAACACAATTCTAAAAATTATGTTTACCACATACCATTTATTACCCTCTAATAAAGCAGTTTTAATATTTAATTTAATGTAGTAAATGTGCATACATGTATTAAAGTATTAGTCCAAAGGACAAATATTTTACATACTTTGGGTCAAGGCCACAAACGGATCCTGAAATTCTTCCTCCCGGACCTGCATCTCTGGTAGTCCATTTTTTCCATGTTGATATTGTATTCTGAAAGAAAAATTAATATGTTAATTTTGTAGTCATACTCTCTTAATTAAACAATTTCCTTAATTTGAAGATACTTCACAAATGTCCTTCAATTTATTTAACATGTCCTTTTTAACTCTGAAAATTAACTCAGAAGAGTTGAATAATGAAAATATGTCTAATCATCAACAATGTTCTTTTCATCAAAATAAGAATTACATTTTCTTTGATTTTTTTAATTGTTACATTTGCACCCAAAATTTCACAAAAATCTTCATTACTGTAGTTACAGAGGTGGATCCTGATAATTGAGGCTTCCAATGAGAGAGTGATTTAAGCCTCCAAATTAAAAAATATTTTTTTTGCGCATGCATTCAATTATGTACACTGACATTTACAATAAATGAATGATTTTAAATTTGTAGGAATTTTGTTATAGTACATTTTAGAATATTCTCATTGTCTACTTCACAACTTGGGTTTTGTTCAAGTCATGTTAAAATAATTTATTTTATTATTATTATTATTTATTTAATTTGTGAAGTTGGTCACAGAAATTACAAAAAAATAAAATATTCCAATGCTTTCCTCTCAAACTTACATTGACATTTATAACTATTACATGTAAAGGTAGCATTCAATTAGTAATTAGAATTAATAATAAAATGAATTAAAATAAAAAGTACTTGCCATTTATTTGATTGCTTTTTGGACATTTCAAGCAATTTCAACAAAATTATACATTTTTTTGATATGGATTACATGCATTTTAAAGATTCCTCTACAATTTCATCTAGCAAAATGAAGATTTAAGTTGATACACAACAATATTTCATAACATGACCTTTTTTCATTCAAACTGATTGTGTGGAAAAATCACAAATTAAAAGTCATTCAAACTGATTTTAAGGAAACTCCAGCCATGAAACATACACATGAGCATGAAAACAAATTAGCAGATCAAACATTTAACTCACTCATATGAAGATGCTCATTTATATGTATGCATGCACTCATCCTAAATTACATGCACAAACCATGCTAAATCATGCCTATTTGCATGTCTACAATTTAGAAAAACAAACAATCAAGAAAGTTAAAAAATTAAATAGAGATTCCTTACAACCAAGGGTTCCAATGTACGAAATAAGGAATTTTTTTTTTCTTTAATATGAGGGTATGACAAAATTACATGTCTCCTTTTCATTGGAACACATATGAAGTCTTTTGTTAGGTCAACTTTTACTGCATTAGTATTAAAATTTGAAATACAGGAAATAAGAATAATTTACTAAATCTGATTATTATGTAATTCATTATAACTCCAATACCTTTTTTGAATGATGGTAGATGTTCAGAACACAACTATCTACTTAAATATATACAAATTAAAATTTATTACCAAATATTTTTGGGTAAAATGTGATAAGACACTGAAATTTATATAATTCAAATGAATGCTCTGAATACATTCTAAATAGAGAAAATTTAAATGCATATTATTAAATTCTATACATGGATCTTAAATATGAAATATAAAATAATAAAATTTACACTTTCCTATTTGCTTTGAATTGACTGAAAATAAGTAACTGGACAACTAAAAATCTAATGAAATTCAATAAAAAAATATAGATGAGTATTTATTTCCCTTTATTTAAACTACAAAGTAAATTTATTGAAAAATAAATTTCAAATTTTATTTAAAAAACAACAACAACAATAACTAAGATGACTAAACCCTGAAACACTGAAGCAGTTATTCCAAAATGCAATTCATTGAGTTCTATGGAGTTAAATTGAAGATGAAGAACCATCAACTTTTGACCCCGAGAGGTGTACTAATAAAACTGGAGGAAAAAACAATGTCTGAAATAAATATAAATCTGCATTTAATTGAATTTTTAAAAATAATTCACATATTAAGAACAGTATTAGAAAGAATAATGTGTGAATGTTGATACATTATTGTTTGATGTACATGAATATAAGAAAAAGTCATGAATAACAAACACTTTCACAAATATTTGTTACAGTGGATTATATATCTTGTGCCATATCCATTCAGAATGCTCAGATATATATCTCAACTTACTTATTTTTACAACAGGATAAGTAAAAAAATGTGTTCACGAGTTTTAGCTTCTTTTAAACCTTTCCCCCTTGCTTTACAACAAGTCAACACAAACATGCCTTGAAATAATTATTACAATTTGACTTCTTTCTCCTTTTTGTTAGGAGAAAATGTAATTTATGTATATTTGAGTGAAATTTTATACATCTTTGACTCCTGTGAATAATTAGATAATATATTAAAAACTAATTTTTTTAGATCAACATATCTTGCCAACCTGTGATTAACAATATTACTAATTTCCAATATGCACAGAAATTGAAAGAAAGACTCTAGTCATGTGGGAAGTGTCTCTACTTTAGTTAGATACCAGGAGCTTGGGAAAATTACAAAAACAATGAAACATTTATGATTTTCATGTGAAAATGCAATGTTGCATTCTGACTATTTTTGTACTGCATGAATTGACTGATTACTCAGTGAGTCTCTGATTACATCACAGCTGAACTAACATGACAGAAGGCTCCAAATAAGAAGCCACCCATTATTAAATATTTGCTCTTGACAGATTATGGAACAGCAACTTTTTTTGATGTTCTTGGTTTGTATAGAACTTTTGCACACTAAATATAGAGTATATTATTGCAGTATTCATGAAGGCTGTTATTAAAATATTTAATTTATTTCAGTATCTTATTTCTAGTATTTTATTTTCAGCAGCATTTTATTTCTAGTTCTTGATAGTGTTTTTGCTATTTTTTGAAAAATCCTTCTTCTTTGTTTTGTTTAGCAGCAGTTTTGCTGCAGTAGATAACTAGTTTCAACTAATCTTTTAGTGTGATATACAGTATGAATAAGCAGATAACTCAATTTATTTGATGTTAATCAGTAATTTAAAATCATTATTACAGTATGATTACTCAGTCAACTTTACTTATTTTGTTATGGCTTACAATTTTATGATTTAAAAAAGTTTTTTTTAGCACATAGCACTTATTACTTGCTACCAGTAAACTAGAAGAAAACTTACCTAATTGTTTCCAGATGTAGAGAATAATTAACACAATTTAGTAGAATACTTATCTAACTTTCTGCATAATATTCACTTATCAACTACGTCAAAGGTCCTTATTCACTAGGTCAAAGATATATTTCAATAGATATTTTCACAATAAAAAATACAAGAAATATTTTTGATGTATCTGAAGATTTATTTATAGACTTTTATCTTAGCCTTTTTAAGATGATTTATTTATAGTTTTGAAGATTTTCAAATACTACTCAAAGGAATATCCTTCAATGGTATTCAGGCTACCCTGAAAATCAATATTCATTTGACAAAATTCATGGTCTTCGGAGAACAGATCTATGAGTTAGTGACTTTTGACATTGATAGTAAGAGCATTTAATATGCTACCAGTACATCATTGAGATGTGTTAGGAGAGTGATCACTGCAAATCTAGGGCCAAAATGTTGGTTAGAAGCTGCTCATATCCTTCTCAACAAAATGAGATCCCATCTTTGTGATGAAAATATGAAATTAAACTACGGAAGTAGATAGTCATGTGTTATGTTTGACTCATCCTTTTGAAAGGAAAGGAGTCATGGACCCATAGACAGTCACCCAGAGGCTTAGGAGATGAGGCTGCTGAAGGGAATGCTAATGCACAAGAGCTTTTGGGTTGACAACCTTCCATCGCAAAGAATGTTCTTCAGAGAACATTTAGTTAGTGCAAATTGCTTAACAAGAAGCAGAAAATTAATGTACCTCAGCCATATTTTACAGGGTAAGTGAGAATTTATCGTTAATAGGGGGAGGGGGGGGGGTCTGGGCGAAGAAGTGGAAGAACAGACCTTTCTGTTACCCAGAGTGTGAGATTTAAAGAAGCATGCGAGGGAAAAGGAGGTGGTCAATATACATGCATGTGAACATGGCACATAAAGAAGATTTATGGTTTAATATTAATAATATGATAATATTACATACATGTTGAAAGAATTGTGGAAATACTGATGTGTTGTTGATGTAATTACATGATGAAATAATGGAAGTCATCTCCGTCAACTTAATAGATTTATTTAATGTCGATGGCTTTTTCTTCATCATCAGTCTCCGCATGTGGCGAAAGTCGGGCACAGTCTCCTGACTTTTACCACACACAGCAAGCCTGATAATGATGGCAAAGCCATCAAAAGCTGGCTCTCTAAATAAATCTATTAAGTTGATGGAAATGCTTTCCATTACTTCATCATTATTGAAAGAATGTTTATTTTTTCTGATGCGCCTCCTATCATACTCTTTTCTTTTTGTTTCAGATGTGGGATACTCCCACCTTTCTTAATAGTGAACATGAAGTACACAACTACATGTAAGGAAGCAAATTTTAGTGGTTGAAGTTAATTTGAAGAAATCAAATGAAATTTCAATATAATGTCAATGATACACATGAAGTTTTGAATATATATTTAAGAGAATTGCGTGTTACTTTGACAGGTGGCTCATTATAAAACAAAATACCAATTCAACATCTATAAATAAAATGAATAAATAGTGTTTTTTGTGCTTGATGAGAATTTACTGAATTTTATTTATGTTTATTAGTGAATCAGAAAAAGATAATTTTTAACTTTTTAAGTATAAAAATTCAATCTAAATTAGCCTAAAACTGGAACTATTGTGCACTAACAATACCAAGAGATTTATTATTTTAAGTATTTTTCTTGAATACTAATGAGTAATGTGGAAGGTAAAGAAAATTTTCTTGTTTGCTATTTGTTAATGCCTTTGTGTAAAAGAAACATTATTCAAATTTCATGCAAAGATAGAGATATACTTTAAATAAATTCTCATTAAAAATGAACAAACAAACAAAGTCAAGCAAAAGCATTCCTAAAGTTAGAATTCTACTGATGAAAAACATACCGTTGATCTTAGTCCCCGCACCAGTTGTTTGGAAGAAAGAAGAAAAACAGGTTACATAAATTCTGACACATAAATGCTAGGCTGTTTATTTGCATTCTTATTCATTAGTGAATGGAAAATAATGGACTTTTAATATGCTATTTGTGTTAAAAATGGTAAGGTTCACAAAAATTCTCAATCCTTGCTGATACATTTGGATATGTATTTTCAAAAGAAAATTTGAATATATAAAATTTTACCTCACTGAATTGATGAACAGTTGTGATTGATAAATTAAAATGAACTAACACCACTACATATGCTAGATACAATTATTGGTTATTAGTTAAGTAATGACTAGTAATAGTAGATTGAACTTACTGAACAATCTGCCTGAGAAGACTGCACACAGCCTGAATCATCATTCCTGATACAGCACGCTGTTTCTCGTTCTTTTTCCCTTCCCTTCTCAATTTCTTTTATAATCTTTGCATCTTTTCGCATACAAGGAGCAAACTTTGCTCCTAGATGTATCAGATCAGCCTGAAAAAAAAATTTGTATTTTATATTAACAATTTAATGCACATTTGAATTAATCTCAAAATTTAAAATAAACAAATAGCATAGACTAATAGTAATATAACTTACTGCTCTTGGTCCAAGCCAAAAATTCGCAGGTTCAAGGTAGTCCACTTGCTGTAAAGACAAACTGGTCACCAAGACCTGCAACAAAACACGGAAAATTATTTTCATGTTATGTAAATTTTCCTTCTTTAATTAAAAATCAAAAATGAATGTGGAATGTTTAAGCAGGCCACAATGAGTCAATCATGATAACTTTATAAATTATTTCTATAAAGGCAAGATATATTTAGACAACAGAGAACACCTTATAATGAAATAAAGTCTAATATCTTTTTCTCACATGTTATCATCCACATACACATTAGAAATATGAGAACTACTTCTGAAACTATCATAAAAAATCCCTCTTGTAATATATCAGAAATAACTTGTGTTTGATATGCTAAAAATGAAGAACAAGGCCGTTCTTAAAAAATAATTACAAAAATGCTATGATAATATGAGTAGTTCAAAATATTATCATATATAAATAGATATATGCAAGATATATATGTCTTGCATATATCTATGTATATATTTTGCTTATAGTAATTTTGTTGTATATATAATTTTGCTATATATAACTTATAGTAATATAAATGCTCTTATTGTATTATATTTTTATAGATATGATTGTCGCTTTGTATCCAATATTGCTAATTTTTTTAATATCAACTAAAATATTTAGTTTTTTTGAATAATTTTAATCTGCAGCAGTGAAAATTACTAAATCAAAAATACACACTCTGAACCCTTCATTCCAAGAATTTAAATTCAAAATTAAAAAGCATATATGAAGGTTATTGGAATTATTGCATATATGTTTATTTCTAATGACAAAAAATAGGAAGGGCTGTTTAAAAAAGTACCTGGCCTGAATGAGGTTTCATATCTATCCCAAAAGGTCCCAATCCATAACAGGCAAGTGATATGATAAGAATAAGAACTTGCACTGTTGTCACCCAATATGTAAAGAATGGCCGATGGTCCAGATCATCCAACTGTTCCTTTGCTGCAGGGTACCCAACAACTGAATGATGAGCTCTCCGCCTACATACACAAAATAAGACTTGTTAATAACACACACACAAAAAGAAAAAAAATTTGTTTTTTACCTTTAGGGAGAAAAACAACAAAAAGAAATTTCACAAGGACACTAATTAATAATATAAAAATATTTTGTGAATTAGAATCTTACCCAAAGAGACGTCCCATTATCCCCATTCCATATTGACGCCTGTCTGAGTTATCAAAAACACGATCCAGCACACGGCTCCATATGCGAGAACTACCAACTTCAGGGCCTGATTGACTCACAGCCTCCAGGCGATCAGGTGTCCTGCGCCAACTGGGGGCCCTGTGCAAGCAATACACAAATTGTTGGTCACTATTTACTTATATTATTGATTTATCATGGCAGTCTTTTATCATACATTTCTTACACACAAGAAATCATAATCTCTCTGCTTTTTAGACACAAGGGGATAATTAATAAAGTTAGTTTATTTGAAAAAAAAAAAAAAAAAAAAAACCTACCCCAAAAGTAATTATCAATGTGAAATAAGCATTGAGGAGTGCCGGGTGGGGTGGCACGGGCGGCCGTGAAGCAGTGGGAAAGGGAGGAGCCAAGGGGACCGGGACAGGGCGATACGGAACGGAACGTAGCGTGGCACTGCGGAGAAGGGCGGGGAAGGCGGCGGAATGGTGGGACGGGCTTGGGCAGGGAGGAGTGGGGTGAGGCGGATGGGGTAGAGCGAGCGAAACGAGGCGCAAGGGCGTTGAAAAGGAGCGGAACGGGGTGTAACGAGGCAGATTGAGCAGGGCGGAAGGAAGGGGAATGGGACGGAACGGAGCGGTACGGAGCGGTACGGGGCGGTACGGGGCGGTACGGGGCGGTACGGGGCGGTACGGGGCGGTAAGGGGCAGAATGAGGCGGAAAACAGCGGAACGAGGCGAAAAGGAGCAGAACGGAGCGGAATGAAAGGGAACGTTGCGGAAAGGAGCGGAACGAGGCGGAAAGCGGAACGACACGGCAAGGAGCGGAACGACGCGGAAAGGAGCGGAACGAGACAGAATGGAGCGGAATGAGGCGGAATGGAGCGGAACGAGGCGGAAAGGAGCGGAAAGAGGCAGAAAGGAGCGGAACGACGCGGAACGGAAGGGAAGGAAGCGGAAAGCGGAACGACGCGGAAAGGAGCGGAAGGAAGCGGAAAGCGGAACGACGCGGAAAGGAGCGGAACGAAACGGAATGGAGCGGAACGAGACGGAAAGGAGCGGAATGAGGCGGAAAGGAGCGGAACGAGGCGGAAAGAAGCGAAACGACGCGGAAAGGAGCGGAACGACGCGGAAAGCGGAACGACGCGGAAAGGAGCGGAACGAGGCAGAATGGAGCGGAATAAGGCGGAAAGCAGCGGAACGAGGCGGAAAGGAGCGGAATGAAGCGCATCGAGGCGGAATGAGGCGGAAAGGAGCGGAACGAGGCGGAATGGAGCGGAACGAGGCGGAAAGGAGCGGAAAGAGACGGAAAGGAGCGGAACGACGAGGAAAGGAGCGGAACGACGCGGAAAGGAGCGGAACGACGCGGAAAGGAGCGGAACGACGCGCAAAGGAGCGGAATGAAGCGGAACGACGCGCAAAGGAGCGGAATGAAGCGGAACAAGGCGGAAAGGAGCGGAACGAGGCGGAATGGAGCGGAACGAGGCGGAAAGGAGCGGAACGAAGCGGAAAGCGGAACGACGCGGAAAGGAGCGGAACGAGGCGCAAAGTGGCGGAAAGAAGCGGTACGAGGCGGAAAGGAGCAGAATGAAGCGAATCGAGGCAGAATGGAGCGGAATGAAGCGGAACGAGGCGGAATGAGGCGGAAGGAAGCGGAAAGCGGAACGACGCGGAAAGGAGCGGAACGAGGCGGAATGGAGCGGAACGAGGCGGAAAGGAGCGAAACGAGGTGGAAAGGAGCGGAATGAAGTGGAACGAGGCGGAAGGAAGCGGAAAGCGGAACGACGCGGAAAGGAGCGGAACGAGGCAGAATGGAGCGGAACGAGGCGGAAAGAAGCGGAATGAAGCGGAACGAGGCGGAAAGGAGCGGAATGAAGCGGAACGAGGCGGAAGGAAGCGGAGAGCGGAACGACGCGGAAAGGAGCGGAACGAGGCGGAATGGAGCGGAACGAAGCGGAAAGGGGCGGAAAGAGACGGAAAGGAGCGGAACGACGTGGAAAGGAGCGGAACGACGCGGAAAGGAGCGGAACGACGCGCAAAGGAGCGGAATGAAGCGGAACAAGGCGGAAAGGAGCGGAACGAGGCGGAATGGAGCGGAACGAGACGGAATGGAGCGGAACGAGACGGAATGGAGCGGAACGAGGCGGAATGAAGCGGCACGAGGCGGAAAGAAGCGGAACGAGGCGGAAAGGGGCGGAATGAAGAGGAACGAGGCGGAAGGGAGCGGAACGAAGCGGAAAGGAGCGGAATGAAGCGGAACGAGGCGGAAAGGAGCGGAATGACGCGGAAAGTAGCGGAACGACGCGGAATGGAGCGGAACGAGACGGAATGGAGAGGAACGAGGTGGAAAGGAGCGGAATGAAGTGGAACGAGGCGGAAGGAAGCGGAAAGCGGAACGACGCGGAAAGTAGCGAAACGAGGTGGAATGGAGCGGAACGAGACGGAATGGAGCGGAACGAGGCGGATTGGAGCGGAACGACGCGGAACATAGCGAAACGAGGCGGGAAGATGCGGAAGGAGGCGAGAAGAATCGGAACGGAGCGGAAAGAGGCGGAAAGGAGCGGAACGACGCGGAACGGAGCGGAAAGAGGCGGAAAGAAGTGGAATGAGGCTGAAAGAAGCGGAACGAGACGGAACAGATCGGAACAAAGCGGAAAGGAGTGGAACGAGGCGGAAAGCGGAACAACGCGGAATGGAGCGGAACGAAGCGGAACGGCGCGGAACGGAGCGGAACGAGGTGGAATGAGGCGGAAAGGAGCGGAATTCTTTTGTGTGAACTGTGTGTTCCCTCTTCTGGTCGTTGTGAGGTATTAATTCCTTCTAAACGGTAAATTCATCAGTCAACGTTCATTTCAATTGTATCAAGATAGGATTTATTATAGAATTGATTTGAAGGTCATTTTTTTAGGAAGACATTCAATCATATAATACGCGTTTATTTAAAATCACACAATGTTTACCCATACGTTGCAAAGGTCTTTCCCCTGGATTTTCAGGGTCTTTTTTAATTCGTTCTTTGATTTTGATAATTCTCACTGAATCATTTAAAATTCTCTTTCCCAACAGCATATATTTATTAGTATTTAAAACACTCAATCACACGTGTACGCTCCTTCTCGCGTAATGTACAACTTTTCAGTTTGTTCAGTCAACAAAGTTTGGGGTGACCATTTTAGGAAACAACTCGCCTTCCCTGGTTAGGCATTAAATTTTACTTTCGTTGGCTTTGCCCCTTAGCATAGAGGGAGATGTAAAGTTTAATGGTGGCTGATTGTACTGGAGTAAGGTGGGCGTGGTGAATATGTAGTGTTGAAGCAATGTGGAAGTAGAGTGGGCTTAGTGAATTGATTGATTGTTAGTGATTCAACGGCTAAGGTAATTAGTTCCGTAAGTGTGATTTATGTTTTTTCCTCTGGAGGTGGCGATGATTCTTCCCCGTTGTGTGGCGAGATCCGGAACTAGAAATCTCTAATCAGTGGGCCCCAGTAGCCAGGACAAGCTCTAAGCCCCCGACTGGTTCCTCGGCACGTGAGGTAGTGTACTGCATATTAGTGTGTGTAAGTAAGGGATAAGAGATTAAGAAAAGGAAGATCAAGCCGGGTTAGCAGTCCGTTTGTTATACTTACGTTTATTTATACGTGTTTTTTTTACTGTTGAATCAGCTGTTGACGGTTTCATTCAATCGGGAGCTTCAACGTCACCATGGTGTCGTCAGTGTAGAAACATCTTAGCGTCCGATTGGATGAAACCGTGAACAGGTGATTGACTTCAAACGCGCATATAAATAAATCGTACTATATGTAACCCTCCCGCATTCGCCTGGTAGTGGAGAATTCTAGCAGTCGGCCGCTAGAGTTCTCCCCCAGAAAGCGGCTGAGCTCGACCCCCGTCGACAGGATTTTCGGCCCTCCGGGTCGGAGGCACTGCAGTGACGTCAGTTGCTGCCCTGAGCTACAGCTCCCGGGGGGGCGAAGCGAAGGAACGGCGAGGCGGAAGTAGGGCAGTGCGTGCCTCACCTTTCGCGCGGCGCGTAGTGATCGCGCACGTGGTGGTGCAGGTGGTGGTGCGAGTGGTGGGCTGGGTGGTCCAGTTGGTCCCGGCCCGCGGTGGGGAAGCCGCCCTCCGCCGCCGCGGGCTCCGCCGCCGCGGACGCCGGTGCCGCCACCGCCGCCGCCGCCCCGGCGCCCCCCGCCGCCGCTGTTGTGGCGTCGGGGTACTCGGCGCCTGCCGGCACGGCCCCTGACGGCGGCGCGGCGCTGCTCGTCGAAGCGACCACCGGCTTGTCGAAGAACACCTGCAACGGCACCGGCGCCTCCCGTTACCAGGAGCTCCCCGAACGCAGCGCGCCCAAATTCGAAATGAAGGGGAAAGCTTTTTCTAATATCACGAGCTGAGGCTTGTAGTATTATTTCTGCACTTGAATATGTAACAGATTTTCTATTACATATGTGTATGTCAGAATAAGTGTTACAAATTTCTATCGCTTCTAAAGGGGTCGAATGTGTTAACTTTTTGCCAATGAACGTAGAGCGGGAAATTCCGTGCGACGGAGTTACATATGTCATTGACTTCTGACTGTTATACAACGCAGTACGTATAGCTGTTTGTCAGGTGCACGAGATTACGTTATATCTGCGATAAAACCTGACCTACCGAACACCTGTGCATAACGAGTTGCCCGACAGTCAGGAGCACATGTAATATGTGTAACTCCGTAGTACGACACTTCCCACTACATGTTCTTTGATAAAAGGAGATCACATTTGGCCCCTCTTATATACTGTAGAAGATAGTAACATTTATTCTCAGATAACAATAGATAGGTACAATATATAAAGCGTGAAATGACTTCAGAGATACCAACCACTCGTCGAGTCTACCTCTATGAGATCACGAAGATATGTTAGGGAGTAACCTACATTTAGAAAAAGTATGTGGGTTATTCTATTCGGTAGCAAATACATAAAATGATAGATATTTCCACTTCAAATACTACATTTTCCATCATTATACCCTTTTTTAAAACAAATTTATTTATAAAATTCTACATCTCAGGTTTTCAAGATATTTGACAAATTTAAATTAGAAAAACAAAATTATGGTTTTAAAAAGTTAAAACGATGGCCGTGATTTTCGGTGATTTTTCAAGAAGTAGACGTTTAAAGTTGGTTACTTGGTTTTATTTTATGTGAAATATTAAAAGTTTGAATAAAAACAGCAATTTTACAATACTAGCAGTGT